TGGTAACTACTTAACTAAAGGTTTCCTTAAAAAAAGTAAATAAATAAATAATAATAATAATAATAATATAAAATTAATTAATTAAATAAAATTCCCATTTTCAAGCTAAAACTACAAAAAAGTAGTTTGTTAAACATCATTTTTTAACTTATTTTCCAAATAAAACAATTAGAGATCGTACAAATTCATACACTTATAGTTATATGGGTGGACCTTCATGATTTTTTTTTTTTTCCTAAAAATCACATTGTACAAATTCATACAAAATCACCTACTCATAAAACACGTCTCATGAGATCGGGTTGGGAAAGTCTTATTATTATATTAAACTGCTAGCTATATTGAACAGTTCTGCTTGCAATAGGCCTAAATTTATCATGGTTTATGAATTTTTCGTCTTTATTGTAAAAATGGCAAAAATATGGAATAAGAAAATTATTTTTGCAGTAAACACAATTTTGTTAGGACTAATTCACAGCTTTACCTCAGTGAAGAAAGAAATACATTATAATCACTTACCCACATCATCCTCGTGATAAATGATGGAATGGTCGTCAGTGTTGGAGGTGGTGTATCTGTCAATGGGCTCGACGTAGAACGTCCCATTGGCTGTTGTAATGGAGCCTTCAAACTGACCCTCGAGAACAGACCCTTGACATGAGGATTCACTCTCATCTTGAGACATGAATAGTTTCATCTTAGTAATATTAATGATAGATAAGAATTGTGTGGCATTCAAAACAATGAATGTGTTTCAAAATGTCCTACCTTCTACTGCTCCTGAGTATATGTGCGAGAGATCCACCATCTGAGTTTCATCTTCTGACTGGACCTTGAAATCTTCTGTGAAGCCATTTACATCTGGCTTGAGACGTAGGTGGAATTCCCTACCAAAACAAAATCAGTCCTTAATAGAATTCATATGTACATATTTAAGTATGGTGGATGTTTTAAAAATCCTAAGTACCTTTGAAAGGCGTTGAAGTTTAGATGAAGCTCTTGTTTGTTTGGATGCGTCTCGCGTCTGATGCGTTGGTGCTGTTGTTTTATGAGATCTCGGTCATAAGACAGGCCTTCATAGTGTTTTATGTATTTGCTAATATCTTGTAAAGCTTCTGAAATATTTTAAAACGAAGGATACGCAGTTAAATTGGAGTCCAGTCCAATTATACATTTGTTTACCACAAAGCAGTGACAGTGAGTAGATTTTTAAAATGTAAGCTAATTCGCACAAACACATTGTGCATTGCTGGTATTTTGGCTGGTTTTATAGAGGTTGTCGTCACTTTTTAGCTGGTCAAGCTGGGAGATCAGCTCACCCCCAGCTAAAAACCAGCTGGGATTGCCTGGGACCTGTGAGCTAAGTCTAGTGAAACAACTTAGGCTGGTTTAAGCTTTTCCCCAGTTGCATTTACATTAACAACAGTTGTCAGCTATTTCTGCTATTTACTTTTTTTTCTAAGCACATCACATAAAATACATCTTGATGCCCCTATTCTGTGTTGTTTTCATATTTTTAAATGCAATTCTGTGTGAACAGCACCTGATGCTCACATCAAACTATAGTGCAGGGCTGCCCAAGCTTGGTCCTGGAGGGTCGGTGTCCTGAAGAGTTTAGCTCCAACCCCAATTAAACACACCTGAACCAGCTAATCAAGCTCTTACTAGACATACTAGAAACTTAAAGGCAGGTGTGTTGAGGCAAGTTGGAGCTAAACTCTGCAGGACACTGGCCCTCCAGGAACGAGTTTGGACAGCCCTGCACTATAGTATAGTGTTTTGAATGGCTAAAGTCAAAATAACCTACCTGTCTGTATAATAATTGCTGGATAAAAATAGTCAATTTTATCATTTATCAAATGAAAATCGTTTAGCTTATAATAGCAATAGCATACCTCTCCTCCACAAATTTCATTTCACAAACGGTGCAGTTTAGGTTACACACCAAAGCATAATACTTTGGGGTTTGTTCAAATCC